CGATGAACATGAGTGTGCATATATCTGTTCTTGTCAAGGCTCTCACTTCTTTAGGGAAACTTAAGTATCTTGCTGTTTTGGTTACCCAATGCCACTCTGACAGGAAAATACCACAGACGGGATGGCTTGAACAAACAGGAGTTTATTCCCTTACAGTTTGGAGGCTTTAAGTCAGAGTTCAAAGTGCCAGGCTCTATCCCAATACTACAGTCCTGGGACACTTTCTGGACCGTGAATAAAGCTCACTCCCAAGGGCTGGCTCTCAGCCCAATAGTAAACAAGATATGCATGCAGACCACTCAACCCAGGGTGACATACCCACATACTCTATGGAAATGCATCCCTTGGAGCAATCAACCATGGGGCACCAGAGGGGCAACATTCACACAGAGGCAATGCAGGACAAACAGGAGTGCATAACTGTGAGGGGCGGGGGGCGATGTTATTGGGTAGGGAAGGGAGGAGACTATGTTAGGGTTGGGCATGGTAAATGGGGAGTGAAACTAAATGTGCATGTAATGTTGAATGTAAAACAAACTCTTAAAATAAAAAATTTTTGAAAAATACAATAAAGTACCAGGCTCTAGGGGCTGAGTGAAAGCCCCTCAACCTTGGGCTTCAGCTCTGCCTCCTGCTCCCAGCACACTGAAGCTAGAGGCTTTTCTTCACTCAGACAGCTGCTGGCTCCCAAGTCTAACAAGCCCAAGGTTGACAAGTAAAAAGGCACAGTCCCAATGTTACCAAACCACATGCCAGGCCATTAATTTGGGTCCACTGAAAGTCCCAAGGTTGGCAGAGCATGGCAGGCTGCTGAACAACAACACAGCTACATGCAGGGTTCAAGTGTGCCATAAGCTGGAGACCACGCCCAAAGCTGCTACTTATATATGGGAAGCAGACCACATTCCTAAAGCAGCTACTCAGCTGCTTGTGGTAGATCCCACCACAGAGCTGATTATCAGTCTCATCATGGGGATTAACTACCACCAGCTTCCCAGCCACTCAGCCAAGCCCAACCAAGTTGACACATAGCTTTAACTACCACACTTGCCTACTCTGAAAAATGGAAGATCTCAATTAGTTCTGATCTAAGTTTTATTCCCTCATCTTGAAATACTGAATATTTTCTGGAAATGATGAGAATAGTAACTGACAGAAAATAAGATATTGACTGTTCTTCATTTTTAAAAAAATAAAAGGGAAAATTTTGCAAAATCAGAGGTAATTAAATATTCAACAAGGTGTAACTGCTAGTATTCCTGTAAATCAAAAAACTATACATGCACAAATTAATAAAATAATACTAACAGAAAGCATTTAAACAGAATGCAAATAGCATTTATGAAAGTACAATAAATCAATTGAGACAAGACTTTGTCATTCAAAAAGTTCTGAAACATATTCAAACAATCTCATGACCATTTTTTACCCATTTCATTGACGAATTTGGTAACACCACTGTTGGTAAGCCATGTGGGGAAAAAGACTCCTACAACCTTTGGAAAGTTAAGTACAGAGAGCATCTGAAAATATCAAATTAAAAATCCTCTAACTCAGCTTTATCCTTTTAGGAATTTTCCAGCAAAGACTTGCACATGAAGGCAGAAATTTTTAAATGCTTTTTTCAGTGCTTTATCTCCAGTGAATGTCACACAGTAGGTGCTCTGGTAATAAGGGGCAGAACTAGGAGTTGAAGCCAAATAGTCGGGCTCCAAGGCCAACAGAAAGCCCAAACAATTTGACAACTGAGTCTGGGCCATCAATCCTGGGCTTCCCAGGGCCTGCACTTTACTCTCATTTATAATGAGAAGCCGTTCATATTCTGGAAAATGTTGAATTTATGAGGTTTTAAATCACCCAAAATCTTCGAGAAAGACTCTGAAGGTCACTCCTAAGACCAAACCAATTTTTTTTACACAAGATATTTAGGCTAGCCTTTCAATCTCTTTCTTTAAACGGAAAACAAATCTATATGATCGTATTGTGCAATACAACAGGACAACTATATTTCAAAGAATCTTCTAAAACATAAATGTGCTTAACTTCTAGTGTCTTTTAACATTGGATATTATTGTAATGATAAAATGGAAAAGAAAGTGCTTCTTACCTGATGTCCACACATGAGATTCTGAGATGCCATCATTATGGCTTTCATTCCTGAAGCACAAACTTTGTTTATGGTGGTACATGGAGTAGAAATAGGTAAGCCTAAACCCAAATTAATTAAGTCAGACTCTTGAATAACTAAGATAGTCACTTTTCAAACACCACAGTAGAATGAAAATTAATAGAATAGAGTATGTTAAACTACAATCAGCAACACTTTTTTTTGCTAAGGCTAGATTGTTATGCATTTCATATCTTATTTAAGCTGAAGTGATCTCCATTTTACCATTTCAAATATTTTCATTATAAAAGCAATGATGTATTCCTGTTACCTGCACCCAGTACTGCTTGCCTTGTAGGGGCTTGTCCTTCACCTGCTTGTAGAACATTACCCATGTATACTTCTTTCACTTCTTCCTTTGGAATCCCTTTTAAAAATTAAAATAAATAAATAAATAAATGCGTTTCTTTTTATTATTATTTTGTTCAATTTAATAATTAGTTGATAACCTAATGAAGTACATGGCATTATACAACAGGCATGGTTTCTTGTCAGTTTTGAGTTTTATTCCCAACTCTCTATTACTGTTTTGGTTACCTAGTGCTGCTCTGACAGGAATGTACCACAAATGGGATGCTTGAACAAACAGGAGTTTATTCTCTTACAGTTTAGAGGCGTTAAGTCCAAGTTCCAGGTGCCAGGCTCTGGGGCTAGGTGAAACCCCTCAACCTTGGGCTTCAGTTCTGTCTCCTGTTCCCAGCTCACTGAAGCTACAGGCATCTCTTCCCTCAGCCGCCAGCTGCTGAGTCTGACAAACCCAAGGTCGACAAATACAAAGGCACAATCCCAATGTTACCAAACAACACAGCAGGTCACTAATTCAAGTCCAAAAGAAGTCCCAAGATCAGCAGGGCAGCAGGGCAGGCTGCTGAAAACGACCTGGCTACATGCAGGGTTCAAGTGTGCCAAAAAGCTAGAAACCTTCCTTAAAGCTGCTGCTTATATACTAGAAACAGACCACATCCCTAAAGCAGCTACTCAACTGCTCCAGTAGATTCCACCATGAAATCGATTGTCAGTCTCAGCCAACCAACCAGGCCCAGGCAAGTTGACACACAAGCTTAAGTACCACACAATTACAAAGAATTCTTTACAAAGGAATTCAGAAATGTAGGCATTAAATCATTTCTAAGTGATATGTATATAGTACAAAATAAATATTTGTCCCATTGAATCACAGTGCCCCCTCACCAAAAAAAAAACAAAGCAACTACTGACCTGCTTTTTCAAGGGCTCCCTGAATTGCAATAGAACCAAGTTTAGTGGCTGGCAGTGAGGAAAGACTGCCTAGAAAGGATCCAATGGGTGTTCTTATGGCACTTCCTATAACTACTTCCTGGCAAGACAAAAGATGGTAAAAATTGTATTTAAATACCTTCCCCAATAACCTTTAGTTAAATGAACTTAAATGTCACAGATACATTATCTAAGAAACTATTTTATGAATGACTAGTCACCACAGATTAAAATAACCCCAATTATGATGTGGACAGCAATAAAATTAATCAGTTCATGCTAGGGCTTTTATAATTAAGACCTAACAGAAAACATTTAAAAAAAATAAGAAATAAGAAATGGTTCCTCTAAACTTGTGAACTGCTTAATAAATAAGCCCCAACAGGGCCCTTAGATTTTGGTAGATTACCAAGTCTAATTACAAACCCTTAGAAAACAGAGGCTCTCTCAGGGAGCACTAGGTGATCAGGTCTAATCCTCAACCCAGTTCAGTCACTCTCTTCTAGGATCTCCATGCGGCCTCTGCACTGTACTACATACAACACAGTGAGGGTCCCTGAGAGTAACAGAAGAGCAATGCCCAGATTTAGAGGGAAGGCTGTTTTGCAGCAGCCTATGGGAAAGACACAAGAATTATGCAGGGGGCTAGACTGAAATTTTTTTATGTTAATATGTAAGTTTAAATTAATACCTCGATAATTAATGATCTCCAACTATTCTAAATCCTGAGTTAATATTCACATATACCCAATTCATAAGTATATGCATTATTTAATTAACTATATTTTCTTTAAATTATTAAATTTTTAGAGCAATTTATACTTACATTCAATGTGGATTTTACTACATAACTTCGCTTCATGTATCTTATTTCCTGTAATATAAATATTTATGATATTACAATGCAGAAAAATACTAAACTACATCATTTTTATACTCATTGATAAGGCTATGATAGTATACCTTTTCCTGTTTTTTTATACTTTTATTTCTAGATTTTTTACAATGAGCAAATATCACTTTGATAATAAGAAAATACAACTTTAAAGTATATTCTTCTGGCTAACTGTTCTCTGAAAAATATTATTGAGAATATATGTTTTCACTTCAGAAGAGTTCATTATCTTAAAATATTAAAATATAAACTTTATAAAATGCAATTCTAAATGAAATCTAACTTTGAAATTAAGTAAATTTAGAGTGCCACAAGAAAATATGCTCATTGTTTAAAACGTGCTGTTTCTCCCTCTCCATATCCAACAAGTATCTGATTTATAAACAGCAAACATACCTCATATAATATCTGTATTACCAGATAAATTTGTTCTCTGAAAGAAAACAAATCTTTCCCCTACTTCACATTTCTTTCCACTCTAACATCAGCAACCGTAGTAGTTAAAAGTAGTGTGTCAATTTGGCTGGGCTGTGATTTTGAGTGGCCTGGCAGCTGGATGCAGTTATTCCACATGATGAGACTGAATGTGGTATAAATATATCCATGGTGGAATATGTTGTCAGAGGTTAATCAGCTGAAGGGGAGTTGCTTTCTGGGTGTGGCCTGCTTCCAGTATATATGGGAAGGATCCTGCATTTGGCCATTCATCATCTCCAGTTCCTGGACCTGAACCAATGGCCTGCCAATCTTGGGATTGTTGCCTTCCCAGCCAGTAATATGCAGTACTGCTTGCCAGTCTTGAGTTTGTCAGCCCCTGAACCTACATGAATCAGGAGAGCCCTCTAGCTTGTTGCAGTGGGCCTGGAAGGCAGAGCCGAAGCCTAAGGTGAAGGGCCTCTACCTAGCTCCCAGAGTCAGCACTCTGAATTCACACATCTAGCCTAGCCCTCTTCTAGAGCTGGCATCTGAATTCAGACATCTAGCCTTCTAAACTGTAAGAAAATAAATTTCTGTTTGTTAAAGCCACCCATCATTAGTATTTCTGTTTTAACAGCATTGGACAACTAAGACAGCAACAAATGCCAACAACACCAACAAAAAAATCTGAAAATGTAGGTCACAGTTCAGAGACATTATTGATCTAAAATGGACTATTTACAAGACAAATAACAAAAAATAAAATGTTTACCCTCTAAGGTCAGAAAGCATAAAGAAATATTTTTAAATAACAGCTTAAAAACAGGCATAGGAGTTGAACATTTAGCTGAGGTAAATAAACTCCTTGGAGAGAACAATCATGGGAGAAAGAAGGGCTGCTTATGCACAGGGGGCAGGAGTGCATGGAGGGATGGACACAGGAAAGAGGTGACTGTCGGGAGAAAGTGGGAGGGGAGCTGTTGCATTGTGATAAATTGTGGTCAATGTCATGAGACCAAGTGTATATGTGAACTGCTGTATGGAAAGTGAATTTACTCTGTTAATTTTCACCCAAATCACACACACACACACAAATTCCCCCCAAAAAAAAAACCACAACAGCTTATATTTAGAATGTAATCTTAATAGCTTATTTAAAAACACACTTGGCAGTCATATCTCACAGAGTCTACACACACACACACAAGTCTACAAATATCTAAAAACCTTAAATAGACCCAAGAACTTAGTTTTTCAGAGATTAAACATGCTTTTTCCTCACTAAATATAAATAACCAGCTAAAGCTTTCTACTTTGTAATAGTTAAGGTTGTGTTTCAACTTGGCTGGGCCTGGTTGAGTGGCTGGGCAGCTGGTGGTAGTTATTCCCCATGATGAGACTGGCAATGAATTCCACAGTGGGATCTACCACAAGCAGCTGAGTAGCTGCTTTAGAGATGTAGTCTGGTTTCCATATATAAGCAGCAGCTTTGGAAATAATCTCCAGCTTATGGCATGCTTGAACCCTGCATGTAATATAGCCAAGTCATTGTTCAGCAACCTGCCATCCTCTGCAGATCTTGGGATTTTTGTTGTTGTTGTTGTTATGTGCTGTCGAGTCGGTCTTGACTCATAGCAACACCTCCTTGGGTTTCCGAGGTGGTATCACTACGGAAGTAGATTGCCCAATCTTCCTTCCAAGGAGTGGCTGATGGGTTTGAAACACCAGCCTTCTGGTTAGCAGTCAAGTGGTAGGCACTATGCTACCAGAGCTCCTAGAATTAATAGCTTACTGTGTGGTTTGGTAACATCTGGACTGTGCCTTGTTACTTGTCAACCTTAGGTTTGTCAGCCTCAGCAGCCAGCAGCTGTCTGAGTGAAGAAAAGCCTCCAGCTTCAGTGGGCCAGTAACAGGAGGCACAGCTGAACCCAAGGTTGAGGGGCTTTCACCCAGCCCCTAGGGCTTGGCACTTTGAACTCGGACTTAAAGCCTCCAAAATTGTAAAAGAATAAACTCCCCTTTGTTCAAGCCATCCTATTTGTGGCATATTCCTGTCAGAGCAGCACTAGGTAACCAAAACACATTTATAATACAGCATAGAAAACAAGACAGATTTGACAAGTATTGGATATAGGCAGAGATATAACCACAATAACCCCAAAATTATTTTTATATAGAGTTTGGATGAGAAAAAATGGAAATGGTGATTTAAGAGAGAATAGTTCTTACATAGTGGAAGAAAAGATTTAACACTGTTGTTGTTAGGTGACATGGAGTCATTTCTGACTCATAGTGACCTTATGTACAACAGAAAGAAACATTGCCTGGTCCTGTGCCAGCCTCGTGATCCTTGCTATACCTGAGCCCATCGTTGTAGCCACTGTGTCAATTCATCTCCTCGAGGGCCTTTCCCTTCTTCACTGACCTGCCACTTTACCAAGCATGGTATCCTTCTCCAGGGAATGGTCCCTTATGACATGACAAAAGTAGGTGAGATGAAGTCTGGCCATTCTCATTTCCAAGGAGCATTCCTGCTGCATTTCTTCCAGGACAAATTTGTTCATTTTTCTGGCAGTCCATGGTACTTTCAGTATTCTTCACCAACACCACCACTCAAAAGCATCAATTCTTCTGTCTTCCTTATTCATTGTCCAGCTCTCACATGCATATGCGGTGACTGAAAATACCCAGGCTTGGGTTAGGCACTCCGTAGTCTTCAAGGAGACATCTTTGCTCTTCAGCACTTTAAAGAGGTCCTTTGCAGCATTATTTACCCAATGCAATACGTTATCTGATGTCTTGACTCCTGCTTCCACTGGTGTTGATTGTAGAACCAAGTAATATGAAGTCTTTGACAACTTCAATCTTTTCTCCATTTATCATGATGCTGCTTATTGGTACAGTTGTGAGGATTTTGTTTTCTTTATATTGAGGCGTAATCCCTACTGCAGACTGTAGTCTTTAATTTTCATCAGTAAGTGCTTCAAGTCATCCTCACTTTCAGCAAGCAAAGTTGTATCATCTGCGTATCACAGGTTGTAATGAGCCTTCCTTCAATTCTGATGCCATGTTCTTCTTCATATAGTCCAGCTTCTCAGATTATTTGCTCAGCATATAGATTGAATAAGTATAGTGAAAGGATACTACCATGACACACTCCCTTCCTGATTGCATGCAGTAGTTCCTTGTTTTGTTTGAATGGCAGCCTCCTGGTCTATGTACAGGTCCCTCATGAGTACAGTTTAGTGTTCTGGAATTCCCATTCCCCTCAATGTTATCCATAACTTGTTTATGATCCACACAATCAAATGCTTTTGCATAGTCAATAAAACACCAAGTAGACATTTTTGTAGTATTCTTTGCTTTCAGCCAAGATCCATTTGACATCAGCTATGATATCCCTTGTTCCACATCTTTTTCTGAATCCAGCTTGCATTTCTGGAAGTTCTCTGTCAGTATACTGCTGCGATTGTGAATTATCTTCAGCAAGATTTTACTTGCATGTGATATTAATGATATTGTTCAATAATTTCCATATTCTGTGGGATCACCTTTCTTTGGAATGGGTAAAAATATGGATCTCTTCCAATTAGTTGGCCAGGTAGCTGTCTTCCAAATCTCTTGTCATAGATGAGTGAGTGCCTCCAGCACAGCATCCATTTGTTGAAACATCTTAATGGGTATTCCATCAATTCCTGGAGCCTTGTTCTTCGCCAGTTCCTTCAGTGCAGCTTCGACTTCTTCCTTCAATACCAGTGGTTCTTGATTATATGTCACCTCCTGAAATGGATGAACATCAACCAATTCTTTTTGGTACAATGACTCTGTGTATTCCTTCCATCTTCTTCTGATGTTTACTGTACCATTCAGTCTTTTGCCCATAGACTCTTTCAATATCGCAACTTGAGGCTTAAATTTTTTCCTCAGCTTTTTCAGCTTGAGAAATGCTGAGTGTGTTTTTCCCTTTTGGTTTTCTAACTCCAGGTCTCTGCACATTTCATTATAACTGGCTTTGTTTTCTCAAGCTACTCTTTGAAATCTTCTGTTCAGCTCTTTCACCTTGTCATTTCTTCCATTTCCTTTAGCTACTCTCTGTTCAAGGGCAAGTTTCAGAATCTCTTCAACATCCATTTTGGTCTCTTCTTACTTTCCTGTCTTTTTAATAACCTTCTGCTTCCTTCATGGATAATGTTCTTGATGTCATCCCACAGTTACTCTGGTTTTCGGTCACTGGTGTTCAATGCATTAAATCTATTCTTTAGATGATGGTCTCTAAATTCAGGAGGGATATAATAAAGGTCATATTTTGTCTCTTGTGAACTTGTTTTGTCTTCAGCTTCAACTTGAACTTGCATATGAGCAGTTGAGGGTCCATTCCAGTCAGCTCTGGGCCTTGTTTTAGCTAAGATATTGAGCTTCTCCATTGCCTCTTTCCACAGCTGTAGTCAATCTGATTCCTGTGTACTCCATGTGGCAAAGTCCATGTGTATCGCCACCACTTATGTTGGAAAAACGTATTTGCAATGATAAGTCATTGGTCTTGCAAAATTCTACCA